CTCTAACCATGAGTACCTCAATCTTATACCTAAAAATAGCATATGTCCATGAAATGCACCCGTTTTATTAAAAATAGCTCACCCACAAGCTGTATGATCATGTTCTTGATGTTGAGAGTTCATGAAATCTAAGCTAACTAAATTGGATTAAGAATCCCTGCATGGCTCTATCTCTAAGTTCATCACACATCGAGTGTAAGGCAAAATCCTTTTTACAAATGTTCGAGTAAAGGGGCGGATTAACCATTCTGGAAAACGAAACATGTGTGGTAATTTTCATTGTAATAAAAAGCCCTAGGGATTGCATGCAAGTCTATTTTTTACTCTTGAGTATGTTGAGAATCCATAGAGTTAGTTTCAATTCACTTGTATTTGGTACCAAAATATAATTTTTGTCGACAAGATTTGGGGTGTGAGTATATAAAATTACGTCCCTACAAAACAGCTTTCTATATTTTTATAGAAAATAACTATTCATATTTGTATAAAAAAAACCCCATTTATATTTAATACAAAGTGATCTCAATCCGTCTTCATTATTGGATGTGAAATTGGGACTATCATTATTGGATGTGAAATTGGGAATATCATTATTGGATGTGAAATTTGGTGCTTTATCCATTGGTAGGCACATGGACCAATGGGAAATCTCCATTATAACTTGCTTTTTTTTTAATCATTTTACGTCATTCCATTATCACGATTTACATTTTTATAATGTATTGAAGAGTGTATTAAAATAATAGAAAATTGTAGCTAGATTTTGGCATTTTCTCAGTCGGATTTGGCCCATTTTCTCAGTTATAACTTGCACGTGGACCAATGGGAGACCTCTACGATAACTTGTTTTTTTTAATTATTTACGCCCATTCCATTATCATAATTTACATTTTTTTATAATGTATTGGAGATTCTATTCAAAATAAGGAAAAAAGTTCATACGGAGTCGAGGCTCTAAACAAGTCCACCTCAAAATTTTTACTAAAAGAAGTTGTTTTGATATCCAAAAAACTTTAAATTGGTCATCTCGATATCAAGATGTATGGACATGAGAAAAAAAAATGGATTTCAAGTTTTGGAAATAATGCATGTTGTAATGCATTTTTGGATCATCAATTTTCATGATCTTCAAGTTTTTTTAGATCTGCTTGATCTATGTTTTTTTTTTTTAAAGCTTTAAATTTGATAATGAGAAATAAAAATATATTTTAAAGCTATCAAAAAAATTTCCAATATTGAAACCACATTTCTCAACACTATGTAAAGGTATGCTTTACTTTGATTATTTATAGCCTTGTCTCTCTACAATATGCACTCTTAAAATAATAGGAAAGTGTAGCCAGATTTTGGCATTTTCTTAATGCCATTTTCTTAATGATAACTTGGTGGATATGCTTCTAAAGTTCTTATAGTTTAGGATTTTTTATTTAAAGGAATCTATTTTGTAGGGCCGCGGTTTTATAAACTCAAACAATTAAAATGTCCCACTTACTCCAAATCACGGTCCTAGGTTCAGTCAACACGTGTCACTTATATAGTGTCTCAAGAAGATTTATAAATTACTTTAATTTTATACACACATGGGTGTGGGATAGTTTCATAGGATCTTTGCTCTTATTGTTATATATTAAATTTTTTTAAAAAAATTAATACATGATCTTTTATTTATAGTAGGAATGAATTCAAGACATCACGTTGTGACACATTCCACCTTAACTGCTTATGCTTTGAACTTATTCATTTATATACTAGTGTTTAAAACCCCATGATTATTTACTTCGATTGCCGATTCAGATGGGAGTCGATTAGGATTGAATTGGTTATGGGATTATATAGGTCCCAAATCAGTTCCCCCTAAAAACCCCTTACTTTTTTGACTTGTTAAACTTGTCTCATGTATCTTTAGGCGTAATAAAAGTCCAACACCATAAATCTCCACTTTAATATTTATTTTTTTGGATTTTTTGAATTACCAATTTGGACTCATCCAAAACTGATCTAGTTTGTTGATCGAGTGATCCGATGCAGATCTATGAGTGAACGATTTGCCTTATCGATCCACGTTCTAAAATACTAGTAAATATAAAGCGCATATTGTACACTTGTTCCCGCTGTACATACCTTTTAGATCTTATGAAATACCAGAATAATTTTAGAAAAAAACATGGACTTTGATTTATTTTGATTTGTCTCTACAAAAATGAGATGGTATCTTAGTCCATAATTTATTTAGAAATAAAAATATAAATAATTTAAAATTTTATTCTATTTTATTTAATTTTGTAGTTGACCTACTGTGGGTGGATGCGGCTACTTTCTCAAAGTTTAGAATCCTAAAAACTTTCTTTAATAGGAATTTTTACCCAACGAAATGAATGAATTTATAACATACAATCTCTTGACATCTACTAATATAAGCAAAACAAAAGAGTAAACGTATTATTGTTGGAGCCTAGTTCAGTAATTATGGAGTATTTAAAACAACAAAGACTATGCTTTTTCAATTAAATCTCTCTCTCCTTGGGTTTTAGAGTAGGTTTATCAACAACTAGCTGCATTATTAGTACTTCCAAAACTAAATTTCAATTACCATCTCTTTGCAAAGTTTGGTTTATTAATAATTTTACAAAAATCAATTCCACTAAAGTTCTATCTTTTCCTCTCTGTCTCTCTACTAAGTACCACAAACAAATAATTCTATTAAAATTCTTTCTCTCTTTATTAACGACCTATTCCATTAAATTTGTTCTATATAGCTTCTTTCAAAAATCAAAATTTTTAAATTAATATAATAATAAAATAAATAAATTGAGTTAAAGAGATTCATTTTATGGTCATGTTGCATTCTAAATTTTATTTTGATTATAAAATAAATTTAATAAACAACAAATATTTAACATGAGATATGTTATTTACATATTTTTTATACAATAATAAAAAACCATAATGCAAGTGCCACTATTTTAGAAAACTAGATTTTTGATAAATTATAGTGTATTTTAAAAAAATTTCTTTAAGTCGAAACCGGCTGATTCTACAATCTAGATCGTCGATCCACCAATTTGACACCATTTTTAAGGTGGCTGATCCAGATGACTGATCAGTATAAAAAAACCTTTTGTCGATCTAACACACTGAAGTTCTCCGATTCAAACTGACTTAGAACTATCTAGATTGAAGTGAGGTGGATGATTCTACAATCTAGATCGTCGATCCACCAATTTGACACCATTTTTAAGGTGGCTGATCCAGATGACTGATCAGTTTTTTTAAAAAAACCTTTTGTCGATTTAACACACTGAAGTTCTCCGATTCGAATTGACTTAGAACTATCTAGATTGAAGTGAGGTGGATGATCCATGCCATTGATGTGTATTTTCATAAATTGTAACAAACCGAGTGAAAGTCATTACTCATGGGTCCAAGCGATCGGTGGATCCAAACTTCGGTCAGTTGAATTTTGGTGAATTGTGAACCCAACACACACAAATTTCAGCAAAAGTTATTGGCCTTTTAGAACCAAATCAAAATGCCAAATTTATCTCCTCTAGCCCTCACAAAATTTAGAATGAAAAATCCTATCTAGACCACATTAACCCACTAAATTGTGCTTTCATGATTTTTTGAATCTTAAATTTACTTTGTTCACTTGGCTGGCTCCTAACCATTATCAGTGAAATTCTATAATTTAATTTCACATGTGGAGAAAATTATTTCAATTTAATGAAAATTTAATGCATCTTATATGGCAATGTTTTTAAAACTTATACCAATGCAATACGGGAGAATCTAGAGAGAGAGAGAGAGAGAGAGAGAGAAAATATTCATACCTCTAACAAGTGAAAATATCAATGGAAAGTAGAGTATCCTCTATGCTGTAGAAACATAAATGGGAAACCTGGGAGATGTAGAAAGCTTGACCGGACGTCCTAAACAAAAATGAAAATTGAAACCAAATTCAATAGCAAAAAATGAAAAAAAAAAAAAACCAAACCAAATCGCATAGAATGATAAATCGATCCCTATTTAACATCAATGCTATGAACTATTTAACATCATACCCATGTTATTTTTTCTTTTTCTTTTTTTTTTCAAATGTCCCATCACTACTTCAAGTCAACTTTCAATCAAATGGGTTTTGAAATTTATCAAATTACAAAGCGTTAAATACTTGGGAAAAGTTTATATAAAGCTGAGGCTCTAAACAATCAAATTTGAGCCGACATAAAAGTTTTTACCAGAGGTTGTTTTGATGCTCAAATATCTTCAAATTGATATCTCGACATCAAGATACATGAACATGAGAAAAAAAATGAACTTCAAGTTTTGAAAATAGTGTATTTTGTAACACATTTTTTTATCGTTAATTTTCAAGATTTTCATAGATCTATTGATCTACACTATTTTTTAATCCTTAAAATTTATAAATAAATATGAAAATATATTTTAAGGCTATCACAGTGATTTCCAATATTGAAACTACATTTCTCAAACTATTCGAAGGTAGGCTCTAATTTGACGGCACCCTAAATAGTTTAACTTTGAGGTGTTCTTTAATGAATATCCAGGTCGAAAAAGAAAACAAAAAAAAAACAAATTGAATGGCATCAAATGAAGTTGGAATCCCTTTTTGACTTTTCTCAAATAAAAATGGAACAATAATGACAAGATTTTATCAGAGGCATGGCAAAGCGTCTGTGGTGTCGTGGTGTAGTTGGTTATCACGTCAGTCTAACACACTGAAGGTCTCCGGTTCGAGTCCGGGCGACGCCATTTGATTTGGTTCATCTGTTTTTGTCATTTTGCCAATAATTTCCTAACTTATGGCAATAAAGAGCGAAAATAAACTGATTCTTTTTTTCTTATTTAGCAAAGGAAATTTTGGTTGATTAATACAAAAATTGAAAGGAAAGTTTAGTTGATTACTATAAAAATTGAGAAAATGAAATGAAAATGTTCGACTCTAAAAATAAAAAAAACGTAAAAAGGGAAATGCAATGGAATAAATGAGCACAAAGCTCGAAAATAACAGAAGAGGAAAATAAAAAATTGGGGAAAAATAATGAAAATGAAGATAAAGGGAGGACCTAAATTTTTTGTCTTCTCTAAGTATCTCTTATAAAAAAAGAAAGGCAAATAAAAAGAAAAAAGTATTAACACTTCAGAGTTCAGACCAAATCTCAGGAAAAAATTCTCATAAACTCAATATTTTCCAGTTTATTTTCTCATATAAAAATAATAAAAAGGGGAATGAAAATGAATCATCAGAAAAATCCATAGAATGGAAAACAAACAAAAAAATAAGGAAAAATTTGAGGTGCCAAAACAAAGGAAAAACAGATAAAAATTAATATAGAGATTTAATTTGAGAATGAAATAAAAATAAAGTTGCAGAAATGAAAGTGGAATAAAAAATTTAATAACGCGGGAAAACTAAAGTTTCATAAAAAAAAATTCAACAACTTTCTTCCAAATTTTGGGAGATTTCAATTCATTTCGCTTTTTTTTTTTTAAGGCCATTCTCTATATTTTCCAACGTTATTTCAAACTAAATTCAATAAAATTAGGAAAGAAACCATCAAAATTTAGAGGAAAAGCACAGATCTCGGAAATATCGCCGAAGTTTGGATAAATTCAAGCCGAAATTCAGGTTATGATGTATTTTCAATAAAGCATTCCGGGAAAAATCTCCAAAATTAAGTTGTAAATAATGGAAATGTATAGATGGATTAACACTGTGCTTTAATTAGTGATTTATTCTAACTACAAAGAAAATCAGCCAAATTAGCCGAAATTCCTCGAAAATTCAAGCAACAATGAAACGATCTATGCAACGACAAAAGTTTCGCCAAAATTTCAGTGAAAAGAAATTTGCAGAAATCGTGTTACTCATAGAAGTTCCTCTCACTGTGGAGTATGGAGATTCTGTCTGTAAAGGTCCCTAGTAATTCTCTGCCAAAATTTCACTGAAATTTCAAGCCCAATCTCAGATTGCAATGATTTTTCAAACTATAAATACTAATTTCGCCGAAATCCATCGCAATTATACTGAAGAATACAAAGATGCAGAGTACTTATACGCACCTTTTCGTCTGCAGATATTGCAATACTAAATTACCGAAATCCACGGATATTTCACTGAAATTCAAGCCAAAATTCCAGTTATTTTCAGGTTCTTTTGATTGAATATTTTGCAGACAGGAGAATGAAGGTTGAGACTCACTCTGTAAGAGGAAAGTACATTGAAAAATTATTACTCTTTCTGAATTACGAGACGAAATGCCTGGCTCCTTTGGTTCACGATTTGTTCGACCCCTTTATAGGTGCATTGCACCAATGCGTATCGGACACGTAGCATAAAACCTCACCCAATCACATGAGAGTAAACATTTGCTTTAGTGTGTTTTTGAAGCTGCCACCCAAAACATGGGTGGGAATAGTATTTTAGTTTCCTTGTTGGAGTTGGTACTAGAACCGGTGCGGGACCGGTCTAGAGTTCCCCTCGAAATAGAGATTGAGTTCAGTGTAGGAAAAATCGAACCGAATCAATTAATCGGATATTGGGCAGAAAGTGGATCAATTGGCCTAACTAGTAAATCAGCTAGTTCAACCGACCTAACTGAGCAAGTTTTGAGAGGTCAAAAAAGTGTTAAAAAAATAAAAATACAAAATATTTAATAAAATATAAAAAATATATCTAAAGCATGATTAAAACAAATCAAATCCAAATGAAGTTGAAAATTAATGAAGAGATGGATTTTAAAAAATCTATTTGTATCAGAGATATTTTTGAAATTTTTTTAAAAAATATAAAAATAAGCATTAGTGGCCAAAACAATTTTCAATATTTTCCAAAATGATGAAAAACATTAAAAAATACATTACACACAAAATCCTTTATTTTTTGGGATTTTATATAATGTTTTTTTGAAATTTTTTAAAATACCCAATCGGTTTACCAAAACTTTCTGAATCCGAAACTGACCAGTGGGCTGTTCCGATCTAATTGGGCGGCTAGAATTTGAACTGCCCGGTTTTTCCAATACCGATCAAGACCAATACATCCTAAAAGATTATTTTGACACTCTTACAACCACTCATTTTAAAATTTAAAAGATAATCATTATTGTGACCTCTATATATAAAAGATAAATGATTTCTTTCGTAGACAATCTCTTCTTTATTAGCTCGCCGGATCAAGCGTTCCAACCAAAAAAAAAATATGATCTTATTTATTGTATATTTTTTCATAAGAGACATCAAAAGCGAGAGCATTGAGTGTGGTTTAGAAGCTTGGTAAGTGGGGGAATAGGGTTACGGCAAAAATCGGTCGTGGGAGCTAATGCCTCTGACATGAAGTCCCACACTCTATTTCCACCGTTAATATGTCCAAATCAATAAATAAATAAATAAAACAAAGTAAAAGAAAAGAAAGTAAGTATGTGGTACATGGCACTTGTACTCATCAACCTCATGGTTATCTCTGCATTTATCATGAATAGGCAATATGTACTAACGGATGAACAAGATTTACTATGTTTAAATATATCATCAATGAACAAGATTTATTGATGATAACTCTTTACACTCACCCTTCAATCAATCATTGTTTCTCTCTCTCACACACACAACCAATCACCACAATTTATTCACTATTGTGCCAAACAATAAAGCTCATTGCTTGTGATGGATTCTCTCCCTACCATCCTACTATTGTTTAGCTAAAATGGTTTGCTAAATGTTGAAATAATACTCGATATGGTATATGAATGATGTAGTTATTTATATCTCATATTTTTTGGTAAGTAAAAGTTGGTGGCATATTCAAGAGATATTTGGAGAATCATTTTTCATTTTCTTGATATCTTATAAGTTCTATTTAATACTAGATAAATTAAATAATGGCATGACTGAACAACCCTTTTGTGGATGTAGGTCCAAGAGACTGCACCCCACATAAAGTCAATGTATTTTTTTATTCTTATCTTCTTGCCTCTTCTTCTTAAATTTCTTCAACATGATATTAGAGTATTGATCTATTTTTTAAAAAAATATTTTTTCTACGAAATATGCCTAGTTTCTCTCTCTAGAAGGGTTCTCTCACGCATAGCTTGCTGATATTTGCAGCAACAAATTGTTGTGGTTGTCATCTGTTATTTTGCGCATCAGTGATGGTACCCACTGCCTATAAAGAAACTGTCCAAAAAGATTTGCATTAGTCATTGTTTGAAAAACCGCCCCGATCTAACTAGTAACCACCCGGATAGATCGGAACCGGTCTCTTGCCGGTTCCGGTTTCGGGCTGTTTTGATGATTGGCTGGTATTTTAAAAATAAAAATTCAAAAAAATATCTAAAATGATTTTGCACATCTTCACTACTTTCTTGGCATAGAGGTATATTATTTTTCAGGTGGGATTTTTCTATCACAAAAAAAATATGCTTGAGGCCCTCTTGATCGTACTAAAGTGCATGGTGTCAAACCTATATCAATACCAATTTCAATGAAAAATAATATACATGGGAATTCTTATCCATTTCCTTATTCATCTCTTTATTGGAGCATTGTTGGTGCACTCCAATACATTCCCATAACATGGTCAGACTTTTCCCATAGTATTAATACAATATGTCAATTTATGCATGCCCCTATTATTGCACATTTTTAGGCAATTAAACATATTCTTCGTTATTTCAAGTTACACAATCATCTAGTAAAAGAATCTTATCTGCTAGTTCCTTTGAATTATATGCATTCTCTGATGCAGACTGGGTTGGATGTCCCACCACTTATCGTTCTACCACTGGTTTCTGCACGTATCTTGGTTCCAACTGCATATTTTGGAGTGCTAAAAAATAATCGATTGTGGCTCATTGCAGTGCTGAAGCGGAATATCGATCTATGACATCCACTGCTGCAGAATTGATATGGTTTTCTTTTATTCTTCGAAAATAGGGTTACCACTTCTTCCGCCACCAACAAATTTTTGTGACAATATTAATGCTCTTTACATGATAGTTATTTTTATTTTTATACATGGACAAAGCACTTTAAGTTAGATTATCATTTTGTGTGTGAAAAATATTGCTCTTGGATTACCAATCGCTTGTTTTGTTTCCTCTCACAATCAAGGAGGTGATATCTTCACCAAGATTTTGCTACGAGATATTTTTCGAGATCTTTGCTTCAAACTTTAGCTTCAGATACCTCCCTAGGCTAGTTTGAGGTGGAGTAATAGAAAATTGTAACAAGAAAGGGAAGTGTATATTGCTCTAGAAAATAGTAACAAGATAGGAAAGTGTATATTTCTCTTTCCTTTTCAGAGGAGAATGTATCAAGATAGAAAAGTGTAGATTACACTATTTTATTACCATTATATATACAATGAAAGCACTACCACAATTGGGTGTGTGGGCACAATTATTTTTCAGAAAAAGTTAATTTCTCTCTGTGAAGTTTTCTTCATCGCCTCAAAATCCAGTAGAAAAGAGCATTCTGAAGTTAGAAAGACTTTTAATTGATCATCCTGACATCGAGATGTATGGATAATTTCAATTTTAAAAAACGATGCATCTTGTAACACGTTATCTAGACCATCTATTTTTATGGTTTTCAATTGTTTACAGATCTACATGATCTACACCATTTTTTAGAAATTTAAATTCTATAATTAAAGTTGAATATGGATTTTCAAACCATTGTAAGGTTGTTAACACCAGGACTATATCTTCTAGCAAAATTTAGAAGTCTGCATTATAAGTATAATATAAGGTTAGCAAGTTTGGAAAAGAGAGTTTAGTATTTTAAGATTTGTTATAAGTATGGAAAAAGTCCATACAAGGATGGAACCTTATACTGTAGGACAAAAGGACGTTTCAACTTTATACTGTAGGACCAAGGCACACTTCAAAAATCCATCAAAAAATGTTGTTCACATGCTGAAAAGTCTTTTAATTAATCATCTCAATCTCAAGATGTAGAGATGTGAAAAAAATTAAAAATTAAAAATCTTCAAAATAGTATTTCTTGTAATACATTATAGTGACCATCTATTCTCAAGCTTATATGTTCGTAGATCTACTTGATCTATACCATTTTTTAGTTTTAAATTTCATTATTAGATGTGAAGTAGTAATCATTGAAACTTTCGAACCAAAATTGCATCTTTCAATGAGTTTAGGAGGTGCAATTACTTAGATTGTTTAAGGTTGACACCCTATACAATTAATATTTAAATTTTAGAATTTTTTAAATGGGATTGTCGATCAATGATTTCATGCAACGGTTGCATAGTAATATGATGCAACAACCTTAAAAAACCATCTTATGGCCATTTGTTTGATCCAAATTTTGAAATATGCACTCTTTTCATTCTAATGAACAATTACAACAAAAAAAAGGAAAAAATTGAAAACGCAGCCTAGAAAGTATTTTTTTAGTCCAATTAACATAGACCGTTCATTTTAGTGAGATGCTTAGATTTAGGCCTTAGAAGGATTTTTTTATTTCCAATTTTTTTGGATGGCTTTATTATCATTAGATGAACAACGTTAAAAAATAAAAATAAAAATAAAAATGATTTCGAATTTGTAAAGGCTAAGATCTTGAAATTCACAAAATGAATGGTCTAGATTCGTTTTTGGAGGGGATTCATTTTGATCATATCTAAGGTTCAAATTGAACTTTTTTTTTTTGGAAGGGGGTTGATTATTGAGATGAAGAGTGTGTGTACAAAATTTGGGTTCGTACAAATACCACAAACATAGTTTTCTAGAAGTGTAGTTGCATTATACTATGATACAACTGTTGCATTGGATCATTGCTCGGATTGTCTATAAAGAGTCTATTTATCTTTTGTACATGGAGGTCACAAGAATGATTGTCCTTTAAATTTAAAAATGGGTAGTTATAAGAGTGTCATTGAACAGACACAAAGTTCCAAAAAAATTTATCCGACTTCATTACTCACCCCAAGCCTTCCAATTTGACATCTAATGACTAAGAGTTATTGTAACCTCTATGTACAAAAGATAAATGGTCTCTTTGTAGACAATCCCTATTTAAATTGGTTCTCTAAATCAAGCAATCCAGCTTGAAAGAAAATGATCTTTTAGTACATTTTTTCCATAAGAATCTTTTCTTTAGGAATTCACCTGAAAGAGACATGCAAAGCAAGAGCAATGAGTGTGTTTAAGAAGTTAGGTAACTGGGTTCACTCCCATCAATAAAATAGATAACATTCGTTAAAAAAAAAAAA